ACTACAGTTGTCATTTGCATAAAAGAGACTCAGAGTGAGAACAAAAGACCTTTAATTGTTGCAAAACATCACTTCTATTTATGATAAACCTAGCTTTCATTTTGATTCTACGTGGCCTCTCACTCAATGTTTTACAGTGAAGTTGGAACAAAAAGCCTCGTTGCTCTGACTCACAGGTTAACGACCAGCAGAAACACAAAAACATGATGTTCCTCCTTAAAATAACCCAACTTCCTGCTGTTTGTGCTTCATCCTGAAGTTGATTTGTTCTGCGAGTCATGGGAAACTCCATCAGCAGATTTAGCCACAGTCAGTGGCTTCACTTTAAGCGGACACACCGGTTCAGCTCCACTTCGACACATCTTCCTCTCTGCTCACAAAGCAGCTTCAAAACATGAAGATTTCACGTCTGCTCACAGGACAGTCGAGGCCCAGCGTTTCTGTCTTCCCTGACATTTTCAGGTCCAACGTTGCCACCTGCTCTTCACGCTCGATTAGTTTCGTTAACTTTACTCGCCATAAAAAAAAAACTTGTTTTCACATGAGCTGAAAGAACAAACAGTTACAAAAACAACAACAACAACAAAAAACACTTCAGTGTGAGAGCTGACCTGTGACATCTTTAAAAATTATAATAATGGTTCAATTGTGTAGACAACGTTACTGTTAGCTTTTAGCTACCATTTTGCTATCTTTGGCTTTTAGCTAACCTTTTGATAATTTTTGCTTTTAGCTGTCAAATGAGTTTAGCATTTAGTTTTTTTGATACTTTGGCTATCGCTTTGCTACTGTTAGCATTTGTCCAGCATTTTTATAGCCCTCGATTCTGCAAATTACAACTTTTGATACTTTTGTCTTTAAACACATGACGCTGCTTTTAGCTTGCCTTTTCATATTTGTATTTTTTAGCCAGCCATCTGATAATTTTAGCTTAAAGCTAGCCATTTGATACTTCTAGCTTATAGCTATAAATTGCTAATGGTAGGTTTTAGTTTTGTTGGTAATTTTAGCTTTTTGCTATTGTTCTGCTATTTTTAGATTTGAGTCTTTTGATACTTGAATATTTAAGCTACTCCTGCTAATATTAGATAGCCTTTTGGCTACTATTGGCTTTTGCCTAGCCTTTTGATACTTTTTACTTTAAGCAATCATTCTAATAATTTAAAGTTTTATTTGTTTTGGACTTTTATCTATTATTCTGCTTCTTTTAACTTTTAGATAATTTGTCTTTTAGCCACATTATTCTGCTTTTAGCTATTCTGCTTTTGTATCATTTTACTTTTTAGCTGTTTTTTTAACCTTTTGATATGTTTAGCTTATTACAAATAATCTGCCAATTTTAGCATTTAACCTTTTGTTAGTCTTCAGCTACATTTAATTTGTAGCCAAAACTTTTGCTTCCTTCAGCTAGCTTTTTGCTATAGCTTTTAGCTGATGGTTTGCTTCTTTCAGCTTTTGAATAGCCTAGTTTTCTGCTACTTTTAGCCAAAAGACCTTAGTTTCAGCTTCTTCAGCTAATGTAACAGAAAATAACATTTCTCTGGTTTATTCTGTCCTGCAGCTGCAGATTCTTCTCTCTGTGAGGAGAAAATGAGATTCTTCTGGAGGTTTGTGGCAGTTTTTGTTTAGTTTGATTCTTTTTAAATTCTGGTTCTGGTTCTGATGGTCAGCTTATTGTGCAAACGGCTCTCTCACCTCATGGACTCCTCTGGACCGAGTTTGGCGTTGAGTCCCGTCCATCTTTGTCTCCAGCTTTGTTTTCAGACTGACGAGACGGTTGGCAAAGAGACCGGACCGACTGCCTGACGCCTCTGGAGCTCAAACAGAGCAGCAGACGGTGAAGAAACGCTCTGAAAAGTACAAATAATCAGTACCAGCAAGAAAAATTAATAAGCTGAACAATAGCTAAAACAAGCTAAAAGGAGCAAGACACAACAACAACAAAATTTATAAAATAAAAGTAGAACACAAAAGAGCAAAAAAAAAAAAAATTCACCTACCATTCAAAAGTAGCAAAATATTTGTATTTAAGTATAAATAGCTAAAGACTTGCTAAAAGTTAAATGCTACAAACAGTTGGCTATAAGCTACAAGTAGCAAAATGCTATGTTTAACAGCAAAGGGTTTACTAAAATACAAAAGTAGCCAAATGTTTGTATTTGAACAAAAGTATATATACTACATAAAAGTAGCAAAACACAAGCTAGAGTTAAGTTCTGCTCAATTTTGGGAAGAAGCCAAAGTTGTAAAAAGCTAGCTGAAAGAAATAAAAAGCAAGCTAAAAGCTAAAGTTAAAAGCTAGCTATAGAGCAGTAGCTGAAAGCTAAAGATAGAAACTAAAGATAGAGGCTAAAAGTAGCAAAAAGCTAAAATGGCAAAATATAAGATTTAACAAAAAATGCAAATACTGTATTTGTATCCTGATGCATGCTCAATAATCCAGGTAGAAAAATCTAAAAAAGTTAAATCTGGTCCTCTGGACATTCAAAAAAAACAAAACAAAGCAAATCAACAAAAAAATGTAGAAACGTTTCGTCTCTCATCCGAGAGACTTCCTCAGTCTGAGGAGCTGTATTCAGCTCAGTCTCTTAAATAGCACCGTCTCAGGGTGGATCAACCAGTTTTGCTGCTGACAACCAAAACCAGCTGATCACATGCTCAAGAAGGACCATCAGC